GTAACAAGCTGGGAGCTTATGATATATACGCACCAGCTTGAGGGGGAGTGTTAGAAATAATATAATATTAAATGGTATTGTATTATTTATTATTCTGTTATTCTAGCAGGTTATTTGGGCTTAGCCCATTAGGTCATTTAACCTCTTTAAATAGAGGTCTTTTGTACAATTCTACACACAATTGAATACAATACCTTCGTACATTCTAATTGTATTGATATTCCTTTCCATTATGGCTAAATTTTCTTTTGCACTGGGCATCCATTCAAGTTGGTGCTGCCATTGTGGATTAAATGTTAAAAGAAGAACTTTCTCTTTGCATCAATTATTGTGGCTTATGGATCCTCAGGCTTAGCAGGCCAAAACTGATTCTAGCCTGCATACAGACAATTATTTTTTGTTAACACTCTAACTTTGATTCCATAATTTGTCTTGTCATCAATATCTCCATTTTCCCCATAAAATTTGAAATTGATTTTCTTGTGATGTTGCAGGCAGATGTAAAAACCATTCGGTTTAAAGAGGAAGTCTTAAAGAAGGGTGGGATCTGGAAAGATATTTATGGGGCTGATGAAAAGAAGGTTGCTGACATGGTTAGAGAAGAGCAAGTTGATATTTTGGTAGAACTTACTGGTCATACTGCAAACAATAAGCTGGGAATGATGGCATGTCGACCTGCTCCAGTTCAGGTGTATCTAACATATCCATGTGTAGATTTTTTCCCTTTGTTCATCAGCTTGTAGCTTTTATTACCTTTGCTTAATATATTCCCTCTCTGCCCCCCCTCCCCCTTTTTTTACGATCTCTATTTCGTAGTATGCTGATTTTGTGAAGCTACAATTTTGTATTCTGAAGCATTAGTGTTAGCGTATTCTTTCTGATTTTCTCCCAACATATTATGCAGTGAATTAGTGTGATTTTCTATTTTATGTAATAAAAATTGGAAGAGTTGGTTAGTAGTGATTACTGCTTAGTTTAGCCTAGCTGATTGCCAGTATTTACTTTTCCTTAGATGTGATAATATTTAACTTATTGATGAGCATTATTAGGCCAGAATTCAGAAGTTAGATGCTCTTTATATATAATCTTTAAAAGATATTTACATATGGAGTAAATCAGTTTTGAACAACTATTAGGTATATATGTCTTTCATCTTTGCTTTTGTTTTGATCTTACATATAGCTTTCTACATGTATATATGCAGCGGTAAATTTAGTCATCAAGCTTATGATATGAAGTGGCATGTATCATTCATGACTATATGTAATATGCTATAATATATGCTGAATGTATTTAATTTGATCTCTGCAAAATTGTAACTTATATTGCTTGACATGCAGGTGACTTGGATTGGTTATCCCAATACAACAGGATTGCCTACAATTGATTATAGAATCACTGATTCATTGGCAGACCCTTCTGAAACAAAGCAGAAGTATTTCTCTTTTTGAATTTTGTACTTTCTTTTCATTGATGATTGATCTGTCCCAGAGCACTTTTCTCTGTTACTCTTATTGTAGTTTATTTTCTAATGGTAGTTCTCCTAAATTACAGGCATGTTGAAAAGTTAGTTCGATTACCGGATAGCTTCCTTTGTTACACTCCTTCCCCTGAGGCCGGTCCTGTTTGTCCAACTCCTGCTCTTTCCAATGGTTTCATTACGTTTGGTAGTTTTAACAATCTTGCTAAGGTAATGTCTGTGTTAAATATATTATGTGTATGTCTGTTCTTGTTTAACAAGAACGAATTGTAGAAGATAAGTCATGTATCCTCTGACTTACGCTGTTTTATTTCATCAGATTACACCCAAAGTATTGCAGGTTTGGGCAAGGATACTATGTGCAATTCCAAATTCTCGCCTTGTGGTAAAATGTAAACCATTTTGGTGTGATAGTGTGAGACAAAGATTTCTTTCAAAACTACAGCAGTTAGGTTTGGAACCACTACGTATTGATCTTCTGCCCCTTATTCTTCTTAACCACGATCATATGCAAGCATATTCTCTGATGGACATCAGGTAATATCTTTTTGTATTCCTTAATGTTTCTTTGGTCCTGCATAAGCTCATATTTTTGTTTTGTATTGACTGTAAGTCTTTTTATGTGTAGTACCTCTCTTTTATCTTTTCATCTTAGTAATTTTTTTAATCTTTTTCATATACTTAAGTGTACAGTAAAAAACTACTTGCAATATTATTCAGGTTATTGATTTTAAACTTGTTCCATGAATGATGATTGAGGTTCTACCATTTGTTGATTGTTTGTGTTTCTAGCAAAATGCTAGTCAAAGCTATATATACATCTGAAATTTGATAACAATTTCAAACTTTTGAATTTTGGACCAGTTCTTGTGATCAAGAATTACTTACAAGGATAAGAAGAATGCATGTTCAATAGCTTGTCTTATACCCTTTGTAAACTATTCTGCCTTTTTCATGTAGTTTGGACACATTTCCATATGCTGGAACAACCACAACATGCGAGTCTTTATACATGGGAGTTCCATGTGTTACAATGGCTGGTTCAGTACATGCACATAATGTTGGTGTTAGTCTCCTTAGCCAAGTGGGTAAGAAACTATCTTGAATATTTTTCTCCTTAGCCAAGTGGTTAAAAAATCTATTGTGGGCAATACTGCAATATCTCTGTCTAGTTGGTGTCTATCCTGGCTGTTATATGAATTATATTACAAAAGTCAATGATCCGAAATGCCGAGGTATCAAAACTTATTAGGTATCTGTTCTGGATAGGTGCCTTAGCTATAGAGATGAGTATAATAATGCTATATAGTTAGGTGCATGGTTGCAACTTGCAAGTAAATCAAGAATCACTTAAAATGCATTTGGCATCCCGGTGAGTACCAATTGTCAAATTCCTTGGATGTGAAATGTTTTATCACAGAAAGATAGCCACTGATGCCTAATGGACGTGGTTTTTGCCTTGATCTAAATAGTCTGTGACATGGCATGATTTATCTGTGAGCTGTTGAATTTATTGAATTTTAAGAATCCTGCATAATCAATAGCCTATGCAGTTTGTTTGCTTATGGATTTATTTCCAATTTCTTTCTCTTGGGTGAACTCAATTGCTTAATTGAACTAGCATTAGGACTCAAATATTTCCTCTATCACCTGTAGTGGACTAGTGTTTGCTTCTCTTGGTGCCTACTGCCTGTATAATTGTGCTCTTTCATTTTCTGTTATAGTATGTCTACTCTCTCTCTTCAGAGAGGGCATTGAGCACCATAATGTTATTTATTTATTTTGCATCTTTGCCTTCACCACTAAAATTTGAAACTACTGAATATTCACTTTTGAAAATTCAGGTCTGGGGCATTTGATTGCCAGAAATGAAGATGAATATGTTAAATTGGCTGTGAAGTTGGCCTCTGACATTTCAGCACTACAAAATTTGAGAATGAGTCTGAGAGAGCTCATGTCCAAGTCCCCTCTCTGTGATGGAGCAAATTTTGTCCTTGGTCTAGAGTCAACATATAGATATATGTGGAGCAGATATTGTAAAGGAGATGTTCCATCCCTGAACCGCATGGAATTATTGCAACAACCTGTTTCTACTAGTGACCCTTCCAATACTAACTTTGAGCCAACAATGGTAGTAAACTCAAGTGAGGGTATCCCTGTATCTGTGAATGCCAATGGTTCTAATTCAATGCAACCATCAATGCTTAACATTCACAGTTGTGAAGAAAATGGTGGGTCATTGAATCATTGTAGTAAGCAAGGAATTGTGGGTTCAAGTTGAATTTTATCTGAGAATCCTTTATAGTGATTCAAGGATGTTCAACTGTATTACAATAGGAGCAGTATTAGGTTATAATGATGTATATTGTGGTTGCTACTGGAAGATGCTTGTGGCAACCACAGCATCCACAGTTAATTTTCCATAGAATGACAAATTTTTAGGAAAGAAGTGTAAGCAACAGTTGTCTAATCGATTTGTCTCCTCAACTGCTGGGGATATTGAAAGAGTTGATGCTGCTTTGAATGGCATCTTTGGATAGCTGTAACGCGTTTTCCCTAATTTATAATAGTTTAGAGTGTAAATTATGTAATATTTGCTTCTGTTCTTTTCTGGCATGGCATTGTTGGTCAATGCATTCAATTACTATCCTTAATTTCTGTCACCAAAAAAAAAATTATCCTTACTTTGTTAGTATTATAAATGAATGATATGTAATTTTGCAAAAGAAACATGGATTAAGATTTTATGTTGCACTCTAACAAAAGAGAGTGATGTTATGAAAAAAATAAAAACAAAATTAACAAATTTTAGGTAAATAATGATAAGTTATATGATAATCATTTTTTGTTTTCTTTTTTTAATAACATGACTTTTATGATATAAATGGGTAAAATACGATGAGGGGATCCTCGTGCAAGAAACATAACCATAGGGTAGAGTAGAATCCAATATTGCATTATTGACTGAACTTTATCAATCATATATACACTAATGTATTAGGGAGAGTGCATGGTTTGGTTGACTGAATAATTAAAGAGACTTTGTTGGTTATAGCAGCAGGTTGGATTCTGAAATTATTGCAACTACGAATTATTGTTTCATAGCTTTTCCCTTTATATCATTCAACATTTTGACGGTAATATAATAGCATTATAAACAGCCTTATCCAACCACACTTACACTTCATGCAAAATTCCATTTAAGAAATTATTTGCATATCCCTCCAAACCTTGACAAACATTTTCCATTTTTAATAAAAATAAACTAATTAAGGACGAAAATAAATTTAATAAAAATCTTTCTTTCATGCCTATTTGCTTTGACATCAAAAAGTGAATATGTAGTGGAAGTGGTTTCATAACAACTCAGCTTGACTTCCCTTATTCTTGTTAATTTATACAAATGATGATCATTCTCCCTCTCTATATAAGCTTCAACAATATCAAACCATTTGCATATTCATATCACTGTGTCATATATCCTTATAATATACACTTCTCTCAAGTTTCAAAGCCAAAAATGTCAACCACCATTGATGTCCAAGAGTCAAGCTACGTTTCAAAAGGAAAAGCAGTATTAGTTGCACCCCCAAGGCCAGGAGGATGGAAGAAAGGGGTAGCCATAATCGACTTCGTTCTAAGGTTAGGTGCTATAGCTGCTGCTCTGGGTGCTGCTGTCACCATGGGAACCAGTGATCAGACACTCCCTTTCTTCACTCAGTTCTTTCAGTTTGAAGCCAGCTATGATAATTTTTCTACTTTCCAGTATGTGACTCTCCAAGCACTCTTTTCAATGCGCTTCTAAAACATTAATCTCTTTTCAATGCGATTCTAAAACATTAATCTTGGCACTTCTATATATATAGGCTTTCATGTTGCAGGAATTTGAAGTTCTCCCGCAAACTATGTATTCAGAGGAGTACATAATTATAATATTAAAGTTTTTTCTTCTTATATTATAACTATGTACTTTCCGGAGTACATAGTTTGCAGAAAAAATTTAAATTCTTGCAACATGAAAAAAAGGGATCCTATATATATATATATATATATATATATATATATATATATATATATATATATATATATATATATAATCAAAAACTAATTATTAAGATTTAGTTGTTAGGTGAAGACACATCAATGGTTATGTATTATATCTTTTAACAATGGTGAAAGCTTAGTCACCAGCATTTTGTGCTGAAATTCAATTTTTTATTAGAAGAATGATGACAGCTAATGTTAAACTCTAAACCACCTGTTCATAGAGTCTATGATATTATGTCACAAACCAATTGTCCCATTATTTAACCATTTATTCTACTTGATTCTAATTATTGGATATGAGAGTTCACATGAACCATTAAATACAATTAGAATCAACGATTAATAATGGGGTTAGAATTTTTATACTTACACAAATATAAGTTGATTTTACTCACATTTTTAGGTGTGTTTCTATGTACATTAATCTTTAACAAAATGCAGGTTTTTCGTTATTACAATGGGATTGGTGGGTGGCTACCTGGTCCTCTCCCTTCCTTTCTCTATTGTGTCCATCATACGCCCCCATGCAGCTGGACCAAGGCTTTTCCTAATCATCTTAGACACTGTAAGCTTTTCAACCCTTTATTAAATTCACCCCATTGATTAACCTTATATGATTGATAAGTCTCTTTATTTTAATTGATATCCCCATATGATTGATCATCTTTAGTTTCACAACTAAATTGGTTGATACAACTCTTAGTTTATAGATATTTGTATATTTTAACTTGAAGCTTTCTCTATGTGTTCATGAAAATGTAGGTGTTTCTTACTCTGGCCTCTGCTAGTGCTGCTTCAGCTGCTTCCATAGTTTATTTGGCACACAATGGTAATCAGAACACAAACTGGCTTGCCATTTGCAATCAATTTGGTGATTTCTGTGCACAGACAAGTGGAGCAGTGGTGTCATCGTTTGTTGCTGTGGTTGTCTTTGTATTGTTGATTGTTATGTCTGCTTTGGTTCTTGGGAAGCACTGAAAATTAAGATGCAAGGGCTTTAGTTACATGTATTATTGTTGTGTATGGTTTATTCTGTTTCCTTGAGTCTTCCTCATGTTTTGAGGTTTCCTTATTGAAGTCATGAATTGGGTCAAATTGATTTCTTGTATTGATTTGGGAATATGTTTCTATGGAATATTAATTATAATTCACATTTTGATATGTGGAAGTTTGAACCAATATGTTTTGATCATTTTTAAGTTCCCTTTCTCTCAACTTTCGAATTGTTTCCTTCTTGTCGAGTGATTAAGGGCTAGATCCAAGTTTATCCATCATGAAATGATTTAAAAATTAGAAATGCCAGAATAAGCAAAATCTGAAGGGAGGTTTCTATTTTAAAATAGACTTAAATCTCTTAAGTGTTTGAGGTTTCTTTCCTTTTTTTTTTTTCTTCTTTTTCTCATTAAGAAAGTCTAAGATGGAACGTTGATTAAAATTTTGCTCCTTAAAAGTGAAGATATATATATGGCATTACTCAGATTCGATCTCATTTTTTTCTAAATGATATCATTGCCATCATATGTATATATAAAATAAAACAATCGGTCTATCTTGAAAAATATTACATGTGTTAGCTTTGGATCACTAAATTTGTCTCTACAAATTAAATCATGAAAGCATGAACTTGTTAACAAATTTACAACTTAGGTAATGTGAACTTGTTATGTTAACACATTGATAACTTCGAATATAAACTTAGAGGAGAGTTATAGTTACAAACTAAACTAGGTATTTCGGAAATACACACTTAATACATAGTTTAGTTTGTAAATAAAAAGTTTGAAAATATAACATTTCCCATTAACTTATAAGCAAAAACTTTCAGAAATCAAAATAATATAATTATTATCTATCTGATAACATATAGTAATTGTTAAGTTAGTTTTCAATTCTGTTCAGTTTGTTTTGAGTCTGTAACTGAATTAGTTAGCCTAGTTTAGTTTCCTTTCTGATATGCTATAAATACACTTTTGTAGAGTCTTTATATTTTAATATTAATTCCATCAATTTCTCTCAAATTGAGAGATCTCACAGATATTTTCTCTCTCTCTTGAATCTTCCCTGTGCTTGAGATCCTGCGCCAAATACCTTTATGGTATCATCGCCACCGATCCATGGCAACCTCTGCTTCCGCTCCCACTCTACACACCTTCTCCAACCCTGTTTCGTTCAAACTTGATGAAACGAATTTCCTACCATGGAAACAACAGGCTCTTGCAACTATTCGAGGATTCAAACTTCAACAACTTCTTGATGCACCTCCAAGCTCAGATCTTGATGAATCTGAGTCGCTATGGCAGCAACAAGATCAACTACTCATGTCCTGGTTACTTTCCTCCATGTCTGAAGCTCTCTACACCAGAATGGTAGGATGCACCTCCTCCTCTCAGATCTGGGAGAAACTAGAGGAATTTTTTGCGTCACAAACGCGTGCAAAAATCAAACAGCTCAAACAACAGCTGAAATCAACAAAGAAAGAGGGACCAATTTCTGGTTACCTACTCAAGATCAAGAAAATCGTGGACTCTCTTGCTGCCACTGGATCCTCTGTGAGCTCTGAAGATCATATTGATGCCATTCTTGATGGCTTGAATGAGGACTATGATCCTTTCGTAGTCTCAGTCACATCAAGAACTGATCCATACACAGTAACAGAAATGGAGGCTCTCTTAATGGCTCAAGAAGAAAGAATTGAAAAGAGATCCAAGACTGAGTTAACTGTCTTGCAAGCTCATGTTGCACAAATGCAATTTAGAAAACCTAATGCTCAAGGTTTTAACCGTGGAGGTTCTTCCCACTTCAATCGTGGTGGTGGTTTTTCCCAAAGAGGAAGACAGAACCGAGGAGCTCGCTCAAACAATTTCAATGGCAGACTGTACTGTCAAGTATGTGGCAAGCCAGGTCACATTGCCTGGAATTGCTATCACAGGTATAACCAGGACTATCCAAATCCCACTGAGCAAGTCAAGAATGACAAGTTTACTCCTCAGAACTCACAGATTCAAGCTAATGTTGCTATGACTGGATCTGCTGAGCAAGATACTCCAACTGAAAATACAACTGACTACTTCTCTGTATTTGACCAAGCTTGGTACCCTGACTCAGGCGCAACCAATCATCTCACTCCTAGTGCTGGTAATCTCTTATCCAAAACAAATTATAAAGGTCAAGAATCTGTTCAAATAGGCAATGGATCTTGTATGAAAATAAAGCACAGTGGTCACACTATTTTACACTCACCATCCAACTCATTATCCTTTACTTTACCTAATCTTCTACATGTTCCTGGTCTTTCAAAAAATCTTCTAAGTGTCTCGCAGTTTGCTAAAGATCACAATGTATTTTTTGAATTTCATCCTAATCATTGTGTTGTTAAATCTCAGGCAAGCAAGGAGATCCTTCTTCAAGGAACACTTAAGAATGGTCTCTATGCATTTGAGGGTGTCCAAATTCCAACTCATACTGCTTTTACTGCTGTTTCTGTTCAAAATAAAAATGTATCCCACTCCACAGTGGTTGATTCTGTCACTTGCAAAATAGATAGCAAGTTGTCCTTATGGCATGCACGTTTAGGTCATGCTTCACTCAGCACTGTAAAAAGTGTATTGAATCATTGTAATATTTCATTCCAAAATAATAAAACTCCTTTTACCTGTTGTGCTTGTTGTATGGGTAAAATGCATCAATTGCCCTTTCCAGCTTCAACTCATGTTTATACAAAACCTCTGGAATTAATATTTTCTGATATATGGGGTCCTGCTCCCATTACTAGCACCACTGGCTCTAGATATTACATTGTCTTTGTTGATGCTTTCAGCAAATTTACTTGGTTATATCCTATATCTACAAAGAGTCAAGCTCTTCCTGTTTTTGTTGCATTCAAAACTATGGCTGAATTGCAATTCAACACTAAAGTCAAATCTGTCCAAACCGATAATGCAAAAGAATATCTAGCCTTTGATAACTACCTCCAACAAAATGGCATAGTTCATAGACTCACTTGTCCATACACTCATCAACAAAATGGTACCCCTGAGAGAAAACACAGGCACATAGTTGAAACTGGTCTATCTCTCCTTGCTGCTTCCTCTCTCCCTCAACAATATTGGGAAGATGCATTTCTCACAGCAACCTATATCATCAATAGGCTTCCTACACCTACATTGCACAATACCTCTCCTTATGCCATACTGCTTCAAAAGGAACCTGATTACACACTTCTGAGAACCTTTGGTTGTGCTTGTTACCCTCACCTAAGGCCCTACAATAAACACAAACTTGATTTTCGCTCAATCCAATGCACATTCCTTGGCTACAGTCCCAACCATAAGGGTTACAAATGCCTCTCACCTGAAGGTAAAATATTTGTTGCAAGAAATGTTGTTTTTGATGAATTTCTGTTTCCCTTTACCCAAACAGTCACCAAAAATACTGTGTCTTCTTCTTCTGAACCATCACATGTACCTATAATCCCTAAAGTAACTATCTCACCTTCCTCTCAACTCACATCCATACCCACTACATGTGCTGAGGTCACTACAGATTCTGTTTCGCCTATTTCTAACAGTTCTTGCAGGTTATCTACTGGTGAGACATCAGAGTCTCTTTTACCTGCTACAGCACCTACCTCTCAACCCAACAATAATCACCATATGCTCACTAGAGCCAAGACTGGTGTCTTTAAACCCAAGGCCTTTACTGCTTCTGTTGAACCTACCTCAGTTGCAAAGGCTATGACTCAACCTCAATGGCTGCAAGCCATGAAAGATGAATATGAAGCACTTCAAAGAAATAATACCTGGCAGCTTGTACCTCTGCCATCAGACTGCACCCCCATTGGATGTAAATGGGTGTTCAGGACCAAATACAATCCAGATGGATCTATCTCCAAACATAAAGCTCGCCTAGTAGCTAAAGGTTTTCATCAAAGAGAAGGTCTAGACTATGCAGAAACCTTCAGCCCTATGGTTAAACCTGCTACTGTCAGAATTATCCTCACAATAGCTCTCTCTCGGCAGTGGCCAATTCACCAATTGGATGTGAATAATGCTTTCTTAAATGGAGATCTTCATGAGACTGTTTATATGCAGCAGCCTCCAGGCTTTACTACAGGTGATAAAACAACTGTTTGCCGCCTCACCAAGGCACTTTATGGTCTCAAACAAGCCCCTCGTGCTTGGTTTGAGAAACTCAGTTTCACTTTGGGTCACCTAGGATTTGCCTCTACAAAGTGTGACTCATCACTCTTCATCAAAATCACATCCACAACAACCATCTATGTTTTGGTCTATGTAGATGACATCCTCATCACTGGCTCCTCACCTACTGCCATTACATCACTCATTACTAATCTCAACTCAGCCTTTGCTCTCAAGGATTTAGGCCAGCTTCACTATTTTCTTGGTATTGAAGCACAAAAAGACTCCTCAGGTACACTGCATCTCAGTCAAGCAAAGTATATTGCTGACTTACTCAAAAAGGCAAACATGAGTGATTGCAAACCAATGCCAACTCCTATGTCTTCAAGTATAAAACTATCTTCTAGAGATGGCACTGCCTTTCATGATCCCTCTCTCTATCGGTCCATAGTTGGAGCCTTACAATATGCTACAGTAACTAGACCTGACATATCCTTCTCTGTCAACAAGGTATGTCAGTTCATGCATGCTCCTCTTGACACTCATTGGAAGGCAGTTAAACGAATTTTACGGTATCTACATGGCACAAGTTCTCTAGGACTTACCATTTCTCCTTCTCCTCACTTTCACATCTCAGCCTATTGTGACAGTGACTGGGGATCTGATATTGATGACCGTAGGTCCACATCTGGTTACTGTATCTTTCTTGGTAACAATTTAATTAATTGGTCCTGCAAAAAGCAAGCTGTGGTAAGTCGCTCAAGTACTGAGGCTGAGTATAGATGTCTTGCAGCCACCATTGCTGAACTTGCTTGGCTCAAATCTTTATTGTCTGAGTTG